ACAGTGAAGTACTTCATTTTATTTCTGGTTGCAGTCAACTAGTACCAAGTCCAACAGTGTCAGTTTTATTAAGAACTTGTGGTAAAAAATATTTGTATCACTCATTGAATATAGCAGGAATAAAAATGAAAACAGCTGATTGACCGAGTGCAGAATCGCTGTATACAGGGGCGGACTGGGACTACAAATCAGCCCGGGACTCTCGATCGGCCCACTTCGGTACCGCCGGCCCACCTCGGTACCGCAAGTAAGCGGCCCACCTCGGTGGTGCCGCAAGTAAATACCGCGAGGAAATTGTCGACGGGGGGGAAGGGGGGGTGAGCAGTGACTTATCCGACCGGCCCACTTCAGTACCGGCCCATCGGGATTCGTCCCCTGGCTGTATATATAGTTTAAATCTCCTTAGTTACAATGTTGTCCATTTTAGACAAAGGCTTATTATATTTACAGCCCCTAATAACATTTATTTTCTGGGCTCAATATGTGTCTTGGCTGTTTTCGTTGTGATCGCTAAATTCACCTTGTTTATAATATTATCACTATAACACCTGTCATCAGGCTGGCAAGAGCTGTTCCATGCTCTGCTCAACCTCCCGTCTTCCCAATGGACTCAGTAGCGCCCCCTGCTGCCGTGTAGCATGTGTGAGTGAGCATGTGTGACTGTGTATGAGCCAGCCACGGCGGAATATTACTGCCAAAAGTCACGTGACTTTTGGCAGTAATATTCCGCCGTGAGAAGAAAAAGTTTTGTACTTGTAAAACAAAGTGTTGTAGTTGTAAAACAAATTTGTGCACTTGTAAAAAAAAGTTGTGTACTTGTAAAACCTAAGCTGAATTTGTCTCTGAAACATGATTTATTAGAAAAATGTTATGTGTTTGTTTGATAGATACGTTTTTTCTTTGCAAAACTAAATTCATTAGTTTGTAGATGGTGTTTTGTATTTGCAAACCACATTGTGTTTGTTAGTGAATCATAAGGCATTTGTAAAACCTGTTTAGTTTGTTTGTGGAGTTATGGCAGGAAATTAGCTCCATAGTTCTCTGGCACAAATCAAACCTCATAGTTATCTGTTCTTTGGCACAAATCACACCTCATACCAGAGCTAACCCACATTCACTGCTCACACACGTGCTGTTCAGATCCCAGCTCACATAGTTTCAGCTCTCAGGAAGTGAAACTCAGACACTCGCTGCTACTGAGAGGTGAAATGGCGCAGAAAGGAGTTCAGCTGGACCGGGAACTCTTATCTTGTCCGATCTGTCTGGATCTACTGAAGGATCCGGTGACTACTTCCTGTGGACACAGCTACTGCATGAAGTGTATTAAAGGCTTCTGGGACGGAGAGGATGAGAAGAAGATCCACAGCTGCCCTCAGTGCAGGCAGAGCTTCACACCGAGGCCTGTCCTGCTGAAGAACACCATGCTAGCAGCTTTAGTGGAGGAGCTGAAGAAGACTGGACTCCAAGCTGCTCCTGCTGATCTCTGCTATGCTGGAGCTGAAGATGTGGCCTGTGATGTCTGCACTGGGAGGAAACTGAGAGCCTGTAAGTCCTGCCTCGTGTGTCTTATATCTTATTGTGACCAACACCTCCAGTCTCATTATGAATTGCCTGCCTTTAAAAAACACAAGCTGGTGGAGCCCTCCAAGAAGCTCCAGGAGAACATCTGCTCTCGTCACGACGAGGTGATGAAGATGTTCTGCCGCACTGATCAGCAGTGTATCTGTTATCTCTGCTCTGTGGACGAACACAAAGGCCACGACACGGTGTCAGCTGCAGCAGAGAGGACTGAGAGGCAGAGAGAGCTGGAGGGGAGTCGACTAAACATCCAGCAGAGAATCCAGGACAGAGAGAAGGAGGTGAAGCTGCTTCAGCAGGAGGTGGAGGCCGTCAATGGCTCTGCTGATAAAGCAGTGGAGGACAGTGAGAAGATGTTCACTGAGCTGATCCGTCTCATGGAGAAGAGAAGCTCTGATGTGAAGCAGCAGCTCAGATCCCAGCAGAAGAGAGAAGTGAGTCGAGTCAAAGAGCTTCAGGAGAAGCTGGAGCAGGAGATCTCTGAGCTGAAGAGGAGAGACGCTGAGCTGAAGCTGCTGTCTCACACAGAGGATCACAACCAGTTTCTGCACAGCTACCCCTCACTGTCAGCCCTCAGTGAACCTACACACTCCTCCAGCATCAACATCCGTCCTCTGAGCTACTTTGAGGACGTGACGGCGGCCCTGTCAGCACTCAGAGACAAACTACAGGACGTCCTGAGAGAGGAATGGACAAACGTCTCACCGACTGAAGTGGAGGTTTTACTGCCAGCAGCAGAGCCCACCACCAGAGCTGGGTTCTTAACATATTCACAGGAAGTCACTCTGGATCCAAACACAGCATACAGAGAGCTGTTATTATCTGAGGGGAGCAGAAAAGCAACACACATGAAACAACGTCAGTCTTATTCTAGTCACCCAGACAGATTCACTTGTTATGAGCAGGTCCTGAGTAGAGAGAGTCTGACTGGACGTTGTTACTGGGAGGTGGAGTGGAGAGGGTGGTTAGTTTGTGTTGCAGTCGCATACAAGAATATCAGCAGAGCAGGGTGGAGGACTGAATGTGTATTTGGACACAATGACAAATCTTGGTCCTTAGTTTGTAACCAAAACAGTTATTCATTTTGTTACAACAGTATCAGCACTCCCGTCTCAGGTCCTCTGTCCTCCAGAGTAGGAGTGTACCTGGATCACAGAGCAGGTGTTCTGTCCTTCTACAGCATCGTCTCTGAAACCATGACTCTCCTCCACAGAGAGCAGACCACATTCACTCAGCCGCTACATGCTGGGGTTCAGCTTTGTAATCAAGGAGACACAGCTGAGTTGTGTAACCTGAAATAGCCTGAAGTCATTTGAGGAACTCTTCTACTTCTTAAAGTCACCGTGTGTCCATCAGAGCTGATTGCTCATGTCTTCACTGCACAGAGATCAGCTGTCAATCAAACATGATGGGATGTGCTTGAACATGTTCTCATGAGTTGTTGTAGATGTTGGAGTTCCTTTAGGCGGCGCTCCTTCCTGTCTCTGTTTAGCCATGGAGGCTGATTGAAGAAGGAAATCAAACACATTCAAAGAAAAGTCATTCAAAAGAAAAGCTAACGGGTTGAGTTTGTAATGAATTATGTTTCTATTTTCAAGATGTGAGATGAGTGCCACATTAACACATGTCTGTACTAAATAATATGTTGGGGTTTTACTTAATAAAGAAATAAGAGGACAAAAGTGAAAATCTCAGTCTTTTGTTTTTTAATTATAAAAATATCTCTTGTAAATTTAAAACTTAAACATCGAATGTAAAGTAATAAAAGGTCAAATATATTTTCTTCTTGTTCTTCAGAGAGTGATGAAAACTGCTGCAACACTTTTTAGAGCGTAACACCGGGAGGATGTTGAAACCAGAGCTGAAAAAGGTGTACTTGAACAAGATAAAAGCATCTGTTGCTAAGATGTAGCAGGAAATAAATAATGGAGGCTGGAGGCCGTTTCTCTCTCTGGAAGGTATTGAAGCAATATGCTCATTTTCCATTACAAATATTAATATAACATATTTAAAGTATTCAAATGCAATAAAAAGAGGTGTGTTCAACAAAGGTATGTTGTCCAGGGTGTGCCACACCATGGACAACAGTATTCAACCCGGTGTGGTCCGTTTGCATTAGTCAACAATACACTGAAGGATTGTGGGCACTTTTATTTCACCCGGTTATTTTCCAGTACCTCTTCAATCAAATAACACAAAGGAGAAACGAAGAAGTTTGACTTTTTTTTAAATTATGATCAACCATTGGTTTATATATATATATATATTTTGCCACTTTGAGTTTCACGCCATGCCTGAAAATACTAAAAACAATCCAATTCATAAAATATTGCAAAAAGTGAAATGAAACCCCCTGATCCTGATTTAGAAAGAAACAGCAGGCCAACACCAGATAATCATGGAAACGTTAAGCGTTGTAAATGTGTTGCTTATTTGATTCCATTGTGTTTCAAATGTCTGATTATATTAACCACATTTTCTGCAGAAATGTTTTAATCTTAGGTGAATCACGAAAAACACTTTATAACGTTATGATAAGTTATTCAAAGAAATCAGGACACCAAGAGTTTGTTTCTGTATTTATGACACACACGAAGAAACAAAGAACTTGCAAAACATGCAAAAAACACAAAAGAGATGAAAAACAAGTGACAGAAAAGGTCAAGAAACAGAAGTTCCAAAAAGGTCGACCAGTAACTAAACATAAGGGAACGAATGATAACGAATGTAATAAAGTGATCAATCATAATTCAAACTGAAGAAGTACATTTGACTTTGAATTGTTATTAAACCCGTCAGAAATGACCAAATTTAGTTTTTGAAATTGAAGTAATGGATCGTAAAATATAACAGTATTTCTCATGGATTATCTGAAGTGAAAACACCGGGATAACCATGTGCTATTTGGTGGAAGTACACTTCAAAACTGTAGGTTTATGGTACACATTTTGTTTTTGTCAAACACAACTAAAATAAAATCCTAATTTGCATTTGGGTCAATCAGGAGGCTTTTTCAATGTTTCCAACTGTGATCATCATCCAACAATGATGTGAAACAGTCTGATTATCAGAGAGGAGAGAGGAGAGGAGAGGAGGAGAGAGGGGAGAGGAGATAGGAGAAGAGAGAGAGAGAGAAGAGAGGAGAGAGGAGAGAGGAGAGAGGGAGAGAGCAGAGAGGAGAGAGTAGGAGAGAGGAGAGAGGAGGGAGAGAGGAGATAGGAGAGGAGAGAGAGTGATAGAGGGAGAGGAGAGGAGGAGAGGAGGAGGGAGAGCGAGAGGAGAGGAGAGGAAGGAGAGGAGAGGGGGAGATTTAGACTAGAGGGGAAGGGAGAGAGGAGGGAGAGGAGCTTCTTCTCCTGAGGAGAGGGAGAGGCGGTCTCCTCTTTCTTCCGGGACTTGAGGAGAGATCCTCTAGGGAGGATCGTATGGCTCTGAATCTGAATCTGACCAACTTCACACATTTGTTACCTTTTACTCCTGAAATAAGAAGCGATAGAAAAACAAGACAAACAAGCAAACGGTGGGAATCTCATCCGGAACAACCATCATTACAAATCTACAAAGAAAGAATAAAAAGCAGCACCATTATCTTCAACACTAGAAAACAGAGAAGATATTCAGCAACAAAACGGGTTAAAGTGTTAATTCAATGGATCGTATCAAAGATAGACGTTGAAGGCAAGAGCAGGTTCAAAGTGAGTTGTAATGCTACCTGCAGGTGAAATAACACGACACATGATATGAGGCTCTGCTTTGGATATGAACACCTCCTAGGAGCTTCATTAGGGGGTCAAAGGAGAGTGCTTCCTCCTCTAGCTCTCCGTGGGGAGGAGGTGCACATGGTGGCTGATGACCTGCTCCATGGAGCTCTTGAAGGCCTGGTATGAGGAGGAGATGGGCAGCAGGAGGTGTTTGGAGGCGGGTTGGCTCTGAGGGAAAAGCCCCTGGTCCCTGCACACCTCCTTCCTTTTTCTGATCCTGGAGCTCTCTCCTCTCCAAGCCTCGACAGGGTGGAGGAAGGAGATGGAGGGAGGAGGGAGGAGGACAGATACTGGGAGGTCCTCAGATCCTGTGGAGAAACTAAGGAGGTCCTGCAGGGAGATGGAGGTCTTTCCATCTGAGAGAGGAGAGGTGAGGTGGAGAGGAGAGGAGAGGAGAGGAGAGGAGAGGAGAGGTGAAGTGAGGAGAGGAGAGGAGAGGAGAGGTGAGGAGAGGAGAGGTGAAGTGAGGAGAGGAGAGGAGAGGAGAGGAGAGGAGAGGTGAAGTGAGGAGAGGAGGAGAGGAGAGGTGAGGAGAGGAGAGGTGAGGAGAGGAGAGGAGAGGTGAGGAGAGGAGAGGAGAGGAGAGGAGAGGTGAAGTGAGGAGAGGAGAGGAGAGGGAGAGGAGAGGAGAGGTGAGGTGAGGAGAGGAGAGGAGAGGAGAGGAGAGGTGAGGTGAGGTGAGGTGAGGTGAGAGGAGAGGTGAGGTGAGAGGAGAGAGGAGGAGAGGAGAGGTGAGGTGAGGTGAGGAGAGGTGAGGTGAGGTGAGAGGAGAGGAGAGAGGAGACAGGAGAGAGGGGAGGAAATGAGAGGATTAGATTTTCTTCTTTTGTTATTAATCTACTAGGGATGGGAATTCGACCCTAACCCAAAAAACGGTTAACCGTTTAACCGTTTAACCATTTAACCGTTTAACCGGTTAAACGGTTAAACGGTTAAACGGTTAAACGGTTAAACGGTTAAACGGTTAACCGAAATGTAAAAATATCCTATAAAAAAAAATTGGGTCAAAAAAAAATTTCTAACATTCTTTTTTTCAAAAACATTTTTTTCAATAACTTTTGGAAATAAATAAATACATGTTCAAATAAGTATAGAAACCAAGTCGAATTTGTCAAATGTATTGAACTGGTGAAACACAGTTTGACAGCTATAGGCCTACAGCTTTCATGTGCGGAGGCGATTCACAATCAGGCCAGCTGTAGAGAAGACCCTCTCAGCTGGAACGGAGGTTGCGGGTATAGCAAGGTATAGTATGTATATATATAAGTTTAATTTGGCATAGTTTGCACTCTACACCGCACTCACTAACCTGGTCCAAATCTTTCCACACATTACTCCTTCTTGACGCCATGTCTGTTGTGTAGGACTCTTCTTAGAGTGTAAATAATCACCGGACTATGACTGGTCAAATATGTTGAATACCGGCAAAACTAAATCTCTCCTGTCAAAATGTCTTTGTACTTTGCCGCCACACACGGTTGCCAAGCAGCACTTATTATTGTTTAGGCTGGCCACTCATGTGTCGCGAGTGTTGACAGGGGGCGGGGGAGCACGCTCATGAACTGTTAGCGCCGGAACCTCGCAACGGCTGCGGAGCGCATTTGCGCCGCATTTGGGCATAAGATGAGGTTTGAGTCTGCGTGGTCTGCGTGTAGGGAGGGGCAGCAGCCATATCATTAGCTAGAACTAGATCTGATGGGTTTGGACATAAGATGAGGTTTGAGTCTGTGTGGTCTGCGTGTAGGGAGGGGCTGCAGCCATAGCATTAGCTAGAACTAGATCTGATGGGTTTGGACATAAACGCGAGTGAAGTATAACCGGACGCGAGAGAGAGAGATCAGCACCTGCAGCTCTGCCCACTGTGAGGGACCGCTGAGCGGAGCAAAACACACCTTTAGACCTAACACACTTAGCTATGGCACTGTCGTATACATTGAATTATTCCATTTGTTCATATGTAATCAACTTAGGCATCCCTCCCAAAAAAAAAAAAAAAAATTAATAAAGATATTCATAACTCATATTCGAATACCTGAATAATTTCGAATATTCGATTAATCGTTCCCATCCCTATAATCTACATGTATTAAAGAATCAAAGTAACATTTCCCTGACGCAAAGAACACAGGGATTTGAGCCTCTGCAGACCATTGACATGCACACAAACCTATAGAACACAGGGATTTGAGCCTCTGCAGACCATTGACATGCACACAAACCTATAGAACACAGGGATTTGAGCCTCTGCAGACCATTGACATGCACACAAACCTATAGAACACAGGGATTTGAGCCTCTGCAGACCATTGACATGCACACAAACCTATAGAACACAGGGATTTGAGCCTCTGCAGACCATTGACATGCACACAAACCTATAGAACACACTACATAGATATAGATATACCTTCACAGTCCTGCAGGAAGTTTCTCCAGAAGGCGACGACGGGCTTCTCTCGGCTCAGCCTCTCCTCCTGCTCAGAGAAGTTCACGGTGAAGATCTGATCCACCGTTTGAGCCGTGAGTCGAACCGCTGTGTCGCAGAAAACACTGAGGAACACCGCCGGGAAGAGCTGCACCTGGAGAGCAACAAAGGAGCGTTCGCTGTGAGTAGTTATACTGGAATACTGCTGGGAGAATACTGAGTGTCCTCTTCCAACATGAGAGTAGCATGCTAACAAAGGTATCCCAACTGTAGCTGTGAACATGACAGGATGTGTGATTACCTAGAAGAGCATCAGGACTGTTTGAGGCTCTATGGAGATAGACATATGACAAGCATGCTCATTTCTGACCAGGGTTTCCGTTAGCCGGTAATTACCGTTTTTTAGCTGGTAACATTTATTAAAAATCGGTAAATTCAAAACCTGCCGGTCAAAATGTCCGGTAATAATTAGGGATGTTCCGATTGATCGGCCGCCGGTCATTATCGGCCGATATTCACTCTTAATAGTTTGATCGGTGCTCTCTATAAAGGCCGATCAGGAGAGCTGGATCTGATCCATATGGACATGAACGCAAGTGAAGTGTAACCGGACGGGAGAGAGAGATCAGATCTTTTTGAGATTTTGAGAAAAGACAGAATTTTGAGAAAAAATACAGAATTTTGAGAATTTGAGTAAAAAGTCAGGATTTTGAGGAAAGAAATCAGAATTTTGAGGGAAAAAAATCAGAATTTTGAGAATTTGAGTAAAAAGTCAGGATTTTGAGATTTTTATAAAAAGTCAGAATTTTGAGATTTTTATAAAAAGTCAGAATTTTGAGTAAAAGTCAGAATTTTGAGTAAAAGTCAGAATTTTGAGAAAAGGTCTGTATTTTGTATATGACAGGATGATTAACTAGCTGCATATTGTGACTGTGTAACTCCCTCTCTTGGATATCAGCATGTGAAGGACACTGTTCAGGAACTAGTTGATGCTCTGTATGTGATGACTACTTCCATTCTGGAGAGGATCACAAATACATGGATCCTGAGATTGAAGCTCAAGCCGGGGACGAGTGATATTTTCCTAACATACTGTCTCATGTTGAGGTGTCTGATATAACAGTGTTCACACAAGGGGGGGAGAAACTTTCAAATCACCTGATCAAAGACACCCAAAGTCTGCAGACCCTCCCGAAACCTGCAGGACAAAAACACCACAAGTGATTACTTGGGATACACGGAATCACTGAGATGTTCATTAGAGAACCATGTAGAGAAATAACAGAACAAGTCATAAGCTTATTTAAATGGGACATACTATAACATCTCAGGTGCTGACTTATGGTTTCTACTTCAAATTCTTACATGAATTTTTGTTGAAAAGACTCCTATACTGTTCATCTGTGTGTCGGTTTGCTGCACACAGATTATCTTTTCTCAAAAAGACTGGGAATAGATTGATACAGCTTGCTTATAATATTTACATATATGTCCCCTTTAATATCAGTTAATATCCCATTAACTCACATTAACTGTTTCATTAATACCAACCATGAAGTCACTGATATGTGGCACATGCAAGTACATCCAGAAGTGACATTTTATGTGTAGACATTTTGGACAGAGGTTTTTTTATTTGCACTAAAAGCATGGATGAGCAGTGAGGTCTGTACCTCTGCAGGGGAAGCTGCAACCTGGTGATCATCATGAAGCTGACCAGGTCCTCCACCAGAGCCTCTCTCTCCTGCAGCCTGCTGATTGGTCGGTTACAGCCGGCTAACTCCATGAACTCCCAGCTCTCCTCCAAGACGTCTTTCACATCGTCTAAAGTCTCTGCTTCTGCGATCTGAAATAAAACAATACGTTGATGATAGAGTGGTGCACTGATGAAAGGAATAAAGGGACTACAGCACGGTCACATGACTCCACGTCACCACCGCTAAGCTAAAGGTAGCTAATGTTGGGCTATAAAGGAACTACAGCACGGCTATAAAGGAACTACAGCACGGCTCTAAAGGAACTACAGCACGGTCACATGACTTCACGTCACCACCGCTAAGCTAAAGGTAGCTAATGTTGGGCTATAAAGGAACTACAGCACGGTCACATGACTTCACGTCACCACCGCTAAGCTAAAGGAGGCTAATGTTGGGCTATAAAGGAACTACAGCACGGTCACATGACTTCACTTCACCACCGCTAAGCTAAAGGCGGCTAATGTTGGGCTATAAAGGAACTACAGCACGGTCACATGACTTCACGTCACCACCGCTAAGCTAAAGGAGGCTAATGTTGGGCTATAAAGGAACTACAGCACGGTCACATGACTTCACTTCACCACCGCTAAGCTAAAGGCGGCTAATGTTGGGCTATAAAGGAACTACAGCACGGTCACATGACTTCACGTCACCTCCGCTAAGCTAACGGTGGCTAATGTTGGGCTATAAAGGAACTACAGCACGGTCACATGACTTCACGTCACCACCGCTAAGCTAAAGGAGGCTAATGTTGGGCTATAAAGGAACTACAGCACGGTCACATGACTTCACGTCACCACCGCTAAGCTAAAGGCGGCTAATGTTGGGCTATAAAGGAACTACAGCACGGTCACATGACTTCACTTCACCACCGCTAAGCTAAAGGCGGCTAATGTTGGGCTATAAAGGAACTACAGCACGGTCACATGACTTCACGTCACCACCGCTAAGCTAAAGGAGGCTAATGTTGGGCTATAAAGGAACTACAGCACGGTCACATGACTTCACGTCACCACCGCTAAGCTAAAGGAGGCTAATGTTGGGCTATAAAGGAACTACAGCACGGTCACATGACTTCACGTCACCCCGCTAAGCTAAAGGAGGCTAACGTTGGCTATAAAGGAACTACAGCACGGTCACATGACTTCACGTCACCACCGCTAAGCTAAAGGTGGCTAATGTTGGGCTATAAAGGAACTACAGCACGGTCACATGACTTCACGTCACCACCGCTAAGCTAAAGGTGGCTAATGTTGGGCTATAAAGGAACTACAGCATGGTCACATGACTTCACGTCACCACCGCTAAGCTAAAGGTGGCTAATGTTGGGCTATAAAGGAACTACAGCACGGTCACATGACTTCACGTCACCACCGCTAAGCTAAAGGAGGCTAATGTTGGGCTATAAAGGAACTACAGCACGGTCACATGACTTCACGTCACCACCGCTAAGCTAAAGGAGGCTAATGTTGGGCTATAAAGGAACTACAGCACGGTCACATGACTTCACTTCACCACCGCTAAGCTAAAGGAGGCTAATGTTGGGCTATAAAGGAACTACAGCACGGTCACATGACTTCACGTCACCACCCGCTAAGCTAAAGGTGGCTAATGTTGGGCTATAAAGGAACTACAGCACGGTCACATGACTTCACGTCACCACCGCTAAGCTAAAGGATGGCTAATGTTGGGCTATAAAGGAACTACAGCACGGTCACATGACTTCACGTCACCCACCGCTAAGCTAAGTTTAGGCTATAAGGAACTAACAGCACGGTCACATGAACTTCACGTCACCCACCGCTAAGCTAAAGGTGGCTAATGTTGGGCCTATAAAGGAACTACAGCACGGTCACATGACTTCACGTCACCACCGCTAAGCTAAAGGTGGCTAATGTTGGGCTCTAAAGGAACTACAGCACGGTCACATGACTTCACGTCACCACCGCTAAGCTAAAGGTGGCTAATGTTGGGCTCTAAAGGAACTACAGCACGGGTCACATGACTTCACGTCACCACCGCTAAGCTAAAGGTGGCTAAGTTTGGGCTATAGAGGAACTACAGCACGGTCACATGACTTCACGTCACCACCCGCTAAGCTAAAGGGCGGCTAATGTTGGGCTATAAAGGAACTACAGCACGGTCACATGACTTCACGTCACCACCGCTAAGCTAAAGGTGGCTAATGTTGGGCTATAAAGGAACTACAGCACGGTCACATGACTTCACGTCACCACCGCTAAGCTAAAGGCGGCTAATGTTGGGCTATAAAGGAACTACAGCACGGTCACATGACTTCACGTCACCACCGCTAAGCTAAAGGGGCTAATGTTGGGCTATAAAGGAACTACAGCACGGTCACATGACTTCACGTCACCACCGCTAAGCTAAAGGAGGCTAATGTTGGGCTATAAAGGAACTACAGCACGGTCACATGACTTCACGTCACCACCGCTAAGCTAAAGGAGGCTAATGTTGGGCTATAAAGGAACTACAGCACGGTCACATGACTTCACGTCACCACCGCTAAGCTAAAGGTGGCTAATGTTGGGCTATAAAGGAACTACAGCACGGTCACATGACTTCACGTCACCACCGCTAAGCTAAAGGTGGCTAATGTTGGGCTATAAAGGAACTACAGCACGGTCACATGACTTCACGTCACCACCGCTAAGCTAAAGGTGGCTAATGTTGGGCTATAAAGGAAACTACAGCACGGTCACATGACTTCACGTCACCACCGCTAAGCTAAAGGCGGCTAATGTTGGGCTATAAAGGAACTACAGCACGGTCACATGACTTCACGTCACCACCGCTAAGCTAAAGGTGGCTAATGTTGGGCTATAAAGGAACTACAGCACGGTCACATGACTTCACGTCACCACCGCTAAGCTAAAGGCGGCTAATGTTGGGCTATAAAGGAACTACAGCACGGTCACATGACTTCACGTCACCACCGCTAAGCTAAAGGTGGCTAATGTTGGGCTATAAGGGAACTACAGCACGGTCACATGACTTCACGTCACCACCGCTAAGCTAATGTTAGGCTATAAAGGAACTACAGCACGGTCACATGACTTCACGTCACCACCGCTAAGCTAAAGGTGGCTAATGTTGGGCTATAAAGGAACTACAGCACGGTCACATGACTTCACGTCACCACCGCTAAGCTAAAGGTGGCTAATGTTGGGCTCTAAAGGAACTACAGCACGGTCACATGACTTCACGTCACCACCGCTAAGCTAAAGGTGGCTAATGTTGGGCTCTAAAGGAACTACAGCACGGTCACATGACTTCACGTCACCACCGCTAAGCTAAAGGTGGCTAATGTTGGGCTATAGAGGAACTACAGCACGGTCACATGACTTCACGTCACCACCGCTAAGCTAAAGGCGGCTAATGTTGGGCTATAAAGGAACTACAGCACGGTCACATGACTTCACGTCACCACCGCTAAGCTAAAGGTGGCTAATGTTGGGCTATAAAGGAACTACAGCACGGTCACATGACTTCACGTCACCACCGCTAAGCTAAAGGCGGCTAATGTTGGGCTATAAAGGAACTACAGCACGGTCACATGACTTCACGTCACCACCGCTAAGCTAAAGGTGGCTAATGTTGGGCTATAAGGGAACTACAGCACGGTCACATGACTTCACTTCACCACCGCTAAGCTAAAGGCGGCTAATGTTGGGCTATAAAGGAACTACAGTATGGTCACATGACTTCACGTCACCACCGCTAAGCTCAAGGAGGCTAATATTGGGCTATAAAGGAACTACAGCACGGTCACATGACTTCACGTCACCACCGCTAAGCTAATGTTAGGCTATAAAGGAACTACAGCACGGTCACATGACTTCACGTCCACACCGCTAAGCTAAAGGTGGCTAATGTTGGGCTATAAAGGAACTACAGCACGGTCACATGACTCCACGTCACCACCGCTAAGCTAAAGGTGGCTAATGTTGGGCTATAAAGGAACTACAGCACGGTCACATGACTCCACGTCACCACCGCTAAGCTAAAGGTGGCTAATGTTGGGCTATAAAGGAACTACAGCACGGTCACATGACTTCACGTCACCACCGCTAAGCTAAAGGTGGCTAATGTTGGGCTATAAGGGAACTACAGCACGGTCACATGACTTAATTTCACCACCGCTAAGCTAAAGGCGGCTAATGTTGGGCTATAAAGGAACTACAGTACGGTCACATGACTTCACGTCACCACCGCTAAGCTCAAGGAGGCTAATATTGGGCTATAAAGGAACTACAGCACGGTCACATGACTTCACGTCACCACCGCTAAGCTAATGTTAGGCTATAAAGGAACTACAGCACGGTCACATGACTTCACGTCCACACCGCTAAGCTAAAGGTGGCTAATGTTGGGCTATAAAGGAACTACAGCACGGTCACATGACTTCACGTCACCACCGCTAAGCTAAAGGTGGCTAATGTTGGGCTATAAAGGAACTACAGCACGGTCACATGACTTCACGTCACCACCGCTAAGCTAAAGGCGGCTAATGTTGGGCTATAAAGGAACTACAGCACGGTCACATGACTTCACGTCACCACCGCTAAGCTAAAGGTGGCTAATGTTGGGCTATAAGGGAACTACAGCACGGTCACATGACTTCACTTCACCACCGCTAAGCTAAAGGCGGCTAATGTTGGGCTATAAAGGAACTACAGTACGGTCACATGACTTCACGTCACCACCGCTAAGCTCAAGGAGGCTAATATTGGGCTATAAAGGAACTACAGCACGGTCACATGACTTCACGTCACCACCGCTAAGCTAATGTTAGGCTATAAAGGAACTACAGCACGGTCACATGACTTCACGTCCACACCGCTAAGCTAAAGGTGGCTAATGTTGGGCTATAAAGGAACTACAGCACGGTCACATGACTCCACGTCACCACCGCTAAGCTAAAGGTGGCTAATGTTGGGCTATAAAGGAACTACAGCACGGTCACATGACTCCACGTCACCACCGCTAAGCTAAAGGTGGCTAATGTTGGGCTATAAAGGAACTACAGCACGGTCACATGACTTCACGTCACCACCGCTAAGCTAAAGGTGGCTAATGTTGGGCTATAAGGGAACTACAGCACGGTCACATGACTTAATTTCACCACCGCTAAGCTAAAGGCGGCTAATGTTGGGCTATAAAGGAACTACAGTACGGTCACATGACTTCACGTCACCACCGCTAAGCTCAAGGAGGCTAATATTGGGCTATAAAGGAACTACAGCACGGTCACATGACTTCACGTCACCACCGCTAAGCTAATGTTAGGCTATAAAGGAACTACAGCACGGTCACATGACTTCACGTCCACACCGCTAAGCTAAAGGTGGCTAATGTTGGGCTATAAAGGAACTACAGCACGGTCACATGACTCCACGTCACCACCGCTAAGCTAAAGGTGGCTAATGTTGGGCTATAAAGGAACTACAGCACGGTCACATGACTTCACGTCACCACCGCTAAGCTAAAGGCGGCTAATGTTGTAATCACATTTAGACAATTGTTAGCAACCAACGTTTTTAAATCCACCAGTGGGGTATTACCCGTGTTTTATGTCGTAGAACAGAACATTAAACTCTCTTCAGCTTGTGTTAACCACAGACCTTTTTTCAGGCAAACAACCAAAGATTTCAAGACGAGGGAAAGGGAACAGGAAGTGGTAAATGCTGACTAATTTTTGGGTTTTCGGACTCTCCTAAAACTGTCATACTTACCCTGCTGACCTGGCAGGTGACGTGTGTGTAGGGCGTCATGTGTTTGACGGACAGTGGTTGGTTGGGCGGGTAGTTGAACAGACACTGGAACAGAGCGCGGGAGAAGAAACTGACGGGAGAACCGTGAACCAGAGAGAGAGCGAGCAGGCAGCCAGCGTCAAAGTACAGGTCGTCACGCAGAGCTGCAAACACACACAGAGAGATGAGGTTAGCTGCAGGCTAAAGGACACTTCATCTGCACCATTAATCAAACCTTTATCAAAATCACAATATGGACAAGTGCATAAATCATATCGCAGGAAAGATAATATTTGATAAATGGACTGTACTTATATAGCGCTTTATCCAGTCTTTACGACCCCTCAATGCGCTTTACATACAACATGTCATTCACCCATTCATACAGAGCAGTGCACCTTACACCATTCATACACATTCACACACCGTTGGCCAGGCTATCGGGAGAAACTCAGGGTTCGGTATCTTGCCCAAGGACACATCAACATGTCGAACCCACAACCTTCTGGATGAAAGACGATCGCACTCCCTCACAGCCACAGTCGCCTAAATATGTGTTAGATTATGATTTTAAAGGAAGTACTATGGAGCTGCAGAGATAAATAACTTCCATGCCATGTGACCCCAATCAATGCAGCAATCAAGCACTGCACCGGACAAGAAGGACATATTTTTTGGGTTTTTGAATATTTTAGTGTCTAAATTGTATTATTATTGTTAAGAAAATGTTGCATTTAATAAAAACATTTTCAATAGCTTCCATATCATGTGAGCTTATAACTTCAAATGAATCCAGGATTTTACACTGGAAGAAGATCGGATTTATTTTATATTAATATTGTTGTGAAGAAATCTGAAGTTTTTGTATTAAAAACTCTTGGATTTGTTCAAATAGCTTCCATAGCATCTGCTCTTATGGGTCCTTATTACTACACTTGACAAGTAGGACACACTCTATTTAATATGAAGGCTTAGGGTTTTATATGAACATGTATATTTATATATCCCATACCCTTGGAGTCCAGCGCCAGGTTTTTGGACCCCTCAGGACCCTCGAACACTTCAGAGTCCTGGATCTGCTGAACCAGCAGCTTCAGGAAGTGCTGCTTCGCCATCTCACTGTCCTGGAGGCTGCTGGGAAATGAAATCTGAAGGGAGTCTTTGAACCTGGACGTGGATGATGAGAAAAACCCAAATGAAAATGTTAATAGAGGTAAACATGTTGATCATGGTTGGATTTTTAGCGACAAATAGTAACTAAACGATGAAAACAAACCTCCTAAAGGAAGAATGAACTTTGTTAAGAGGGTAAAAGATGATCGAATGGCTAATAGCAAACAGAACACGACGTCAGTAGGAAAAGCAAGATATTACTAATAGAAGCAAATAAAGCAAAAGGATTTACTAATCGAGAATAAGATACCCCTAAACCAGTGTTTCTCAAACAGGACCACTTAACCAATAAAAAAACACTCGCGGACCACCTGACTCCACAGAGATCCAGAAACAATAGGCCTGCTCACTCCAACAATACATTACAGCCTAATAATGACAGCTTCACCTTCTCTGTGATACTTCCATTCTTGAGAGGATATTAAATACATCCTGATATTGAAGCTCAAACCGGTGACCAGTGATATTTTTCTAACACAAATTATAAAAGTTTTCCGTCTCACCTGACAGACAGAGTGTGTGTGGGGTCGAAGTCGGGCTTCCTCACCAGCTCCAGCCCCGCAGACAGAGCCTGATCTCCCTCCACCTCCAGCGTCACACTGAGGGGCCGCAGCTGAGGGCCCAACGCCTGCAGAATCTGCTCCGGGGACCCTCCAGACAGCAAGCGGCTGAGAGAGAGAAGGAGGTGCGTTATTGGAAGGTTGAAATTGTCACATCGTATAAATACTTGGGCACCATTTTCCATGACCACCTCAAAACGAGTGTATTGTGAAGCGGGGTCAACAGAGAATTCACCTTCTTCGCAAACTGAACTCTTTCCCAGTCAGGCCTGTTTGTCGTTTTTACCAAGCATTCATTGAGAGCCTTATTTGTTTTTCTTTGATCTGCTGGTTCCATAGCCTCACACTGAAAGACAGGAACAGCCTGAACGACACTGTTAAAACCTGCTCTAAGGTCATCGGAGTGAAACAGAGCGACTTCAACTCCTTTTGCAACCAGCAGAGACTGGCCTCTCCAGAGGCCTGCACTACGAAGCCGGATGTTCTCTTAGCTGACTTCAGGGAAAACTCGGGCTTTCCAGTCCTACGACGCTGGTTCTCTTTTTAGCGGGCTAGATCTCCATGGTAACTGATGCTGAGCGGCTAACCTCCTCGGGAGGAGGTTAGGTTGCAGGCTAAGAGATCAACTCAGTGAAAGCACCGCCTGCTGACCAATCAGAGCTCCGTGTGCGGAGTTTAAAGATCAAGTCATATTACAGGATAGAGGAAATACAGAAAAACTGCCGTTGCAGGAAAGACGGCCGGCAAAAATCAACTGACTGTGTGAACGTGAAAATTAATAGAATATCCCCTCCTCCCATCTTCAGAGCAATCTGACTATTATAACATTAGCGTTAAGAAAGCTTACTTAAATATCTGCCACAACATAAGTAACCGGATCAGAGTAACATTAAGTACAGTCCGCGGCACTGTGAGTGCAGACGTTGATGTGTCCCATTATCATTCATATCATATCACATCATAATGTATCATATATCTCCTTATCTGAGTCAGCTGAGCCGTATCTGGCCGTGCAACACTCACAGTGTCACATACTGGATGCAGAAGTATTATTTTAAGCAACACATTAAGTTGATGAAACACTCGAGTCAAATGTAATTAAAGTCAGATCGTGTCTTGGACGGGGCAGTGATATCATAAACCTGTTAATGTACGCATTCAAACACTTTCTCTGTTACCAGCTGTATTCACCTTGCAGGTGCAGCTATGTGGCTTTGATCCTGGATAAAGTGTTTAAGTCATGGATGTTTAAAGTTTAACTTCTTCATATTTGACTAATATTAAAGTTCACTTTTCATTCAGGAAGTATGACGCTGCGCTGTCAGTACACTTGTCCATGTTTGTGATTGGTCGAATGCTCCAAATACCACCCCTTTCATGTGAACGCGCACCTAACTAGATAGGACACGGCGGCTTGAGCGATCCACTTGATAACCAGCGTCGTAGTACAGCTTAGCGAGAGCGCGTATGTTTTGGATTGGGCCAACCGGCTAACTCCAACATATCCAGGTTAGGTTGAACCAGCTTCGTAGTACAGGCCTCTGGTGATGTTCAGATGAATTTCATCTGTTGCCATCAGGGCGTAGATATGCTCGACCTGCTCTTAAGACAAATCGCTTTTCAAAATCATTCATCCCCTCTGCACTCAAACTTTTAAATTCTTGATAGGTTTTTTAACTTGATTATTTATTGACTTATTTATTGTGATGCTATGAACTATTTATCGTGTAAATTGGAATGATCCACATCCAGGTGTGTTTTATTCCTGTATGTTCCTGCCTGTGTTCATGACATCAGCTGCTCATAACAAACTGCCCCTTACGGGATTAATAAAGTTGTTGATTGATTGTTAGGTTTGTTTACCTTTTACAGCTCAGAGAGGAGAGGTGCGTTAGGTTTGTTTACCTTTTAGAGCTCAGAGAGGAAAGGTGCGTTAGGTTTGTTTACCTTTTACAGCTCAGAGAGGAGAGGTGCGTTAGGTTTGTTTACCTTTTACAGCTCAGAGAGGAAAGGTGCGTTAGGTTTGTTTACCTTTTAGAGCTCAGAGAGGAGAGGTGCGTTAGGTTTGTTTACCTTTTAGAGCTCAGAGAGGAGAGGTGCGTTAGGTTTGTTTACCTTTTAGAGCTCCAAGAGGAGAGGTGCGTTAGGTTTGTTTACCTTTTAGAGCTCAGAGAGGAGAGGTGCGTTAGGTTTGTTTACCTTTTAGAGCTCAGAGAGGAGAGGTGCGTTAGGTTTGTTTACCTTTTAGAGCTCCAAGAGGAGAGGTGCGTTAGGTTTGTTTACCTTTTAGAGCTCAGAGAGGAGAGGTGCGTTAGGTTTGTTTACCTTTTAGAGCTCAGAGAGGAGAGGTGCGTTAGGTTTGTTTACCTTTTAGAGCTCAGAGAGGAGAGGTGCGTTAGGTTTGTTTACCTTTTAGAGCTCAGAGAGGAGGTGTGTTAGGTTTGTTTACCTTTTACAGCTCAGAGAGGAGAGGTGCGTTAGGTTTGTTTACCTTTTAGAGCTCAGAGAGGAGAGGTGCGTTAGGTTTGTTTACCTTTTACAGCTCAGAGAGGAGAGGTGCGTTAGGTTTGTTTACCTTTTAGAGCTGATGGGGGTCAATTGGCGTTTGGACAGCTGACTCTTCCTCTGACGTCCCTGAGGCGTCGTAGCCAGGGAGGCTGAAGAACACGAGCACATTGTTAAACATAAAAATAAATGATTGACCAATCACAACAGAGGTGGCCAGCTAACCAATCAGAGCTCTGGTTTCAGACAGAGGGTGAAACAGGCAGTATGAGCATGGAGACATGTCACAGTAGAGACACTACATACTGATATACACCTGAACATCAGCAGGAGAGGACTCTTTAAAGTAGAGATACTACATACTGATATACACCTGAACATCAGTAGGAGAGGACTCTTTAAAGTAGAGACACTACATACTGATATACACCTGAACATCAGCAGGAGAGGACTCTTTAAAGTAGAGACACTACATACTGATATACACCTGAACATCAGTAGGAGAGGACTCTTTAAAGTAGAGACACTACATACTGATATACACCTGAACATCAGCAGGAGAGGACTCTTTAAAGTAGAGACACTACATACTGATATACACCTGAACATCAGCAGGAGAGGACTCTTTAAAGTAGAGACACTACATACTGATATACACCTGAACATCAGCAGGAGAGGACTCTTTAAAGTAGAGACACTACATACTGATATACACCTGAACATCAGCAGGAGAGGACTCTTTAAAGTAGAGACACTACATACTGATATACACCTGAACATCAGCAGGAGAGGACTCTTTAAAGTAGAGATACTACATACTGATATACACCTGAACATCAGCAGGAGAGGACTCTTTAAAGTAGAGACACTACATACTGATATACACCTGAACATCAGCAGGAGAGGACTCTTTAAAGTAGAGACACTACATACTGATATACACCTGAACATCAGCAGGAGAGGACTCTTTAAAGTAGAGACACTACATACTGATATACACCTGAACATCAGCAGGAGAGGACTCTTTAAAGTAGAGACACTACATACTGATATACACCTGAACATCAGCAGGAGAGGACTCTTTAAAGTAGAGACACTACACACTGATATACACCTGAAAGTAGGGCCCCTTTAAACAAAGATCTTGACCGGATCCTTTTCACACCAAACACAAACAGAGAACATAAACATCCCACCAGGGGGTCCCTCAGACACAGACCTCTCCCGTCGGTGGCCTGCGTGCAGCCGCTGCAGGCCCAGTCTGTGGCGTCCACCTTCAGCCCCGAACACTTCCTGTGAGTCCCTGTGGAGCCACACAGCCGGCAGCGGATCACCTCAAACCAACTGAAAGAATAACAACAACAACAACAATGTGGGGTTTGTTACTCTACTCGTAAGACTGGGAGGAAACACTGTCAGGACACATCAAGCCAAAAAGGAGACCTGTAGAGCAAGTACAGCTGGCTTTCCCTTTTCTCTGCGCAGTCTAATAAATTAATGAATGGGAAAATAACACTGGATTTGGCTTTAAGTGCATTTTCAACTTTTAGGACCTAATTTTCTTGATTTGATCCCATTGTATTATATACATGTTGTATTATATGTTTAACTCAAATGCAATGCCCTTGGGAACATGCTACCGTTACAAAATCCTTTCTCAATTTGGGATCGATAAATATATCTAATTTAATTTAACCTGTCACAAAGTACATTTGATTTGATCTATTTATATGACCATTGCTAAATGAAGTGTATATCGTTCAATCCGATATGCTTTAATGTCATGAATTAAACAAAGAAGATGCTATACCTTACATACCAGTGCTTTAAAAAAGACAGACCAAGGGAATGAACTGAAGAGACAGAAATAAGAATTAGACAGTTTTACGGACTGTTGTTATTAATGATTTCCAGAAATGAAGTGTGTATTTTTGATGGCACTTCTAATGATAGTGTAACCGTATAGACTATTTAAATGTCTTAAAGGTCACCTATCATGCTATTTGTAGGCAATAGCATAGGTCTCAGATATATACAAATATATAAAAAACATGTCTGAAGTGTTTTGCTCCAAACACCAAACAGATCATTCTAGCCATGCCTCATATCCCTCTATTTCACTTCCTGTTTCAAAAGTGCTGATTTTGGGTATAAAGCTTTAAAAAGGAGGGGTCTGAGCTTATGGGGGACCCGGCAGCTACTGTCTAAACTAAATGCTGCCGTGATGAAACGCCATATCATGGATTATCAAGGATTATCTCTGAAACAGTATGGAGCTCAAAGGCTTTCTCTCTTGCCGGTTATACCACAAGGTGAGTTCCTTTTGATTTCCTGCTTCTTCACACACATGCTCTCCAGTACAGGTTAGCTCTGAGTGTTAGCCATGCTAATGTAAACACCGACCATATTACGTCCAAAACAGTCGGGCATTGTTTCTGATAGCAATGTTTCTGATAGGGCCGTGGGTCCACATTTCAGATATTACGTCATATCGGACGCTAATCTGGATCAGCTCCGTTGTTCCCCCGTTTTTAGAGATTTGGGTACGGAGGAAAAGAGAGAGGGTTTTCTGACGCTGCGTGAGTTCCCTGACACACACGGGGACACACCGGGGACACACCGGGGACACACCGGGGACACACCGGTGACACACGGGGACACACCGGGGACACACCGGGGACATACCGGGGACATACCGGGGACATACCGGGGACACACCGGGACACACCGGTGACACACCGGGGACACACCGGGGACACACCGGGGACAACACCGGTGACACACGGGGACACACCGGTGACACACCGGGGACACACGGGGACACACCGGGGACACACGGGGACACACCGGGGACACACCGGGGACATACCGGGGACACACCGGGGACATACCGGGGACACACCGGGGACACACCGGGGACACACCGGTGACACACCGGGGACACACGGGGACACACCGGGGACACACCGGTGACACACCGGGGACACACGGGGACACACCGGGACACACGGGGACACACCGGGGACACACCGGGGACATACCGGGGACACACCGGGACATACCGGGGACACACCGGGGACACACCGGGGACACACCGGTGACACACCGGGGACACACGGGGACACACCGGGGACATACCGGGGACATACCGGGGACACACCGGGGACACATCTTTATGCATAAAAGACATCAAAAGGTGCATTTTGCATGATAGGTCCCCTTTAATATTGTAAGAAATCACTAATGGTAACAGTTAAACCTTGTGTTTGTCTAAAATAACATCCTGAATGAAACGCATTGGAATATAAATACCCGCTCTTGTAGGAGTGCGTCCGCCCGTCGTTGCAGAGGCAGGTCGAAGCGTCACATTGCTCGTAAACCTCCAGCAGGTCTGAGTATGCGTTTGCCTCCAACTCCCATGATGCATCTCTGCAGAAGAGAATATGGTGAGTAAGAAAAGAGACTTGTGGTTGTTTCTTGTTGTTGTAGGGATCGTGTTACCTCTCTGGGATGTATATTCCCATCCTCAGCATCTCCTGCTGGAAGTCCTCCTTGTTGCTACACAGAGTGCATCTGAAGAAGAATAGGCCGGCACTGTGCGCCTGGCGCTGGAACGCAAACACACACTCAATAAAGAAATATTGTTTGGTACACATCCTCTAAAAAATAAATAATAAAGAACATTATGGAAAATGTCCCTGTGTAACCGATCCTGCTCTGCTAAAGATCTCATGAGCTCATGGGGGAGCCAGCAGCTACCGTCTAAACTAAATGCTGCCGTGATGAAACTCCATATCATGGATTATCAAGGATTGTCTCTGAAACAGTATGGAGCTCAAAGGCTTTCTCTCTTGCCGGTTATACCACAAGGTGAGTTCCTTTTTATTTCCTGCTTCTTATCTAAATGTTTGGTGATTAGTTTTGACACCCATTTCTCAGCTATCTTAGAGACACAGGGGAGGATGCTGATTGGTCTGTAATTGGACATTATAAGGGTCATAATTCTGTTTAACTTTTAAATGTTTGACAGGAAGTGCTTTTCATTTGAAGTCTCCTGCTCTGTGTTTTTCCAGGTGTCCGGTGCCTTGCTCAAGGGCACCACGGCAGGGCAGGAGGTGAACTGGGACCTCTCCAAGTAGCAGTCCACACTCCATATTTTAGGTCTGGTCGGGGACTTGAACCGGCGACCCTACGGCTCACAGTCCAAGCCCCTACTGACTGAGCCACTGCCGGACACACGACATAATATTGCCAATCATATTGCATTTGCAGAAAAATACCCGTCAAAATATTCACATTTAGTTCTTCAAATCATGCAGCCCTATAATTGGGGTAAATAGATGTATGAAAGTAAAGCAGTGTCACTACCTGCACACAGTCCCGGTGGAACCAGCTGTGTCGGCAGGACGGACACTTGAGGACGGAGTATCCGAGGACCGGCTCGATGGAGTCCAGACAGACGGAGCAGGACTGAGGCAGGGTGAGGTCTGCACTCACACACGCCGTCTGAGAGGGGCTGTGGTCCGAGCAGTACGACCTGCACACAGAGAGGACTTCAGGAGTCAATATTAAAGGTCACCTTATGCAAAATACTCTTCTTCATGTCTCTTCTTCATCAACACGTGTCCCCTCTTCTTCATGTCTCTTCTACATCAACATGTGTCCCCTCTTCTTCATGTCTCTTCTTCATCAACATGTGTCCCCTCTTCTTCATGTCTCTTCTTCATCAACATGTGTCCCCTCTTCTTCATGTCTCTTCTACATCAACATGTGTCCCCTCTTCTTCATGTCTCTTCTTCATCAACATGTGTCCCCTCTTCTTCATGTCTCTTCTTCATCAACATGTGTCCCCTCTTCTTCATGTCTCTTCTTCATCAACATGTGTCCCCTCTTCCTCATGTCTCTTCTACATCAACATGTGTCCCCTCTTCTTCATGTCTCTTCTTCATCAACATGTGTCCCCTCTTCTTCATGTCTCTTCTTCATCAACATGTGTCCCCTCTTCTTCATCAACATGTGTCCCCTCTTCTTCATGTCTCTTCTTCATCAACATGTGTCCCCATCTTCTTCATGTCTCTTCTTCATCAACATGTGTCCCCTCTTCTTCATGTCTCTTCTACATCAACATGTGTCCCCTCTTCTTCATGTCTCTTCTTCATCAACATGTGTCCCCTCTTCTTCATGTCTCTTCTTCATCAACATGTGTCCCCTCTTCTTCATGTCTCTTCTACATCAACATGTGTCCCCTCTTCTTCATGTCTTCTTCTTCATCAACATGTGTCCCCTCTTCTTCATGTCTCTTCTTCATCAACATGTGTCCCCTCTTCTTCATGTCTCTTCTTCATCAACATGTGTCCCCTCTTCTTCATGTCTCTTCTACACTCAACATGTGTCCCCTCTTCTTCATGTCTCTTCTTCATCAACATGTGTCCCCTCTTCTTCATGTCTCTTCTTCATCAACATGTGTCCCCTCTTCTTCATGTCTCTTCTACATCAACATGTGTCCCCTCTTCTTCATGTCTCTTCTTCATCAACATGTGTCCCCTCTTCTTCATGTCTCTTCTTCATCAACATGTGTCCCTCTTCTTCATGTCTCCTTCTTCATCAACATGTGTCCCCTCTTCTTCATGTCTCTTCTACATCAACATGTGTCCCCCTCTTCTTCATGTCTCTTCTTCATCAACATGTGTCCCCTCTTCTTCATGTCTCTTCTTCATCAACATGTGTCCCCTCTTCTTCATGTCTCTTCTACATCAACATGTGTCCCCTCTTCTTCATGTCTCTTCTTCATCAACATGTGTCCCCTCTTCTTCATGTCTCTTCTTCATCAACACTGTATAATAGGGGACCTTTAAGTACTTTCAAGTTACATAAACCGAAAACAGCTAATCTGCGAGTTTCACATGATCAGACTACTGAACTATTCTCTTTTATTTGCACTTCACTAAACTGTTGTAATAATGTACATTTCCCGGATGCGGGACAAATAAAGGAACTCTGATGCTGATCTGACATTTTTAAAATATGGGGATTACTAGCAGGATTACAATGTTACAATACATTTTAAACCATTACATGATCATGAGTATACATGTCTGACGCTGTTCTCATTTCTGCTCACCATTAAACCACTGAGTGTTGATTGTGTAGGGAATAGTAAGATTAAGATAACTCACCCTCACCCTTTTGAACACACTCTGAATGGGACTTCTATATGAGACACAATGACTCTCACCTTTATCCATTTTACGAATACAAATAACAATGTTTATTGTGTTGACTCACGGGAAGTTTTCAGTGAACTGAGAGATGAAGTTGAGTTTCCTCCCGCAGGGGTAATGCACCTTCTTCCTGCAGCTCGTGACGTAACAGCCCACACACGCTCCCTTCTTCTTACACAGGCTGCACGACTGTAACACACACATGGTAACACACGCGTTATACACACACACACGCTCCCTTCTTCTTACACAGGCTGCACACCTGTAACACACACATGGTAACACACGCGTTATACACACACACACGCTCCCTTCTTCTTACACAGGCTGCACGCCTGTAACACACACATGGTAACACACGCGTTATACACACACACACGCTCCCTTCTTCTTACACACGCTGCACGACTGTAACACACACACACAGTAAACACACGCGTTACACCACACACACGCTCCCTTCTTCTTACACACGCTGCACGACTGTAACACACACACACAGTAAACACACGCGTTATACACACACACACGCTCCCTTCTTCTTACACAGGCTGCACGCCTGTAACACACTTTAAAACACACACGGTAAACACAAATTAATACAGTTAATACACAGGAAACACTGAGTAAAAATGTCCCTTTGAAATGTGGGTTTTTCTCTGGAAGTGTTTCCTTGTACGATGTGAGGGTCTAAGGACAGAGGGTCTAAGGACAGAGGGACTAAGGACAGAGGGTCTAAGGACAGAGGGTCTAAGGACAGAGGGTCTAAGGACAGAGGGTCTAAGGACAGAGGGTCTAAGGACAGAGGGTCTAAGGACAGAGGGTCTAAGGACAGAGGGTCTAAGGACAGAGGGTGTCGTTTTTCTCACTGATATTCTGCACAAACTGTGCTGTTGTATTTGTTGTAAAGTGTCTTTATTGTAGGGTATCTTATTATATGTACAGCACTTTGGCTCCACCAAAAATCGTTTAAAAAATGTGCTATATAAATAAAACTTGATTTGGATTTGATTTGATAAAACATGCAGTAATCCCACTTTAAATACTCAGTTAATGAATACACAGAAAACACACACTAAATACACCGTTATACAAGGTAAACACACACAGTTAACTCACATAGAACTCACATTAAATACACACGGTAAACACAAATGAAATTCACAGTAAACACACAGTAGCTCTCTCTCAGTCCCTCACCAGTCGAATTGAGCGGCGGACTTCCTTATCGATGTCCTTCACCAGGAACCCAAAGACGCCCTCGTCCTCCTCTCCTCGCTGGTGAACTCCACAGGCCGTCAGCTGAGACACACAAAAAACACTGATGACATGTACGATAATACAATATCATCTGACAGGAAGTCAATCAAAACCTGTAAAGATCTCAACTAAGAGAGGAGGGGGGAACCTCAGAGTCGAGAATGACTCCTCATGGGTTCTGTAAATATTGAAGAACCCTCAGAGGTACTATGAGGACATACAAACACACTCTTCCAGAGAGACTTACCAAACAGAAGTAGTGAACAGAGAGCTTCGGTTCCTTCAGTGTGAATTTTTCTCCAAACAGTGCCGGGTCGTCATCGCTCTGTTTGCAGAGAACACAGCCTGCACAGACAGAGAGAACCTCACCACCAGCTTCATCACACCGTCTACTGGACATCTCATACAACCAGCTTCATCACACCGTCTACTGGACATCTCATACAACCAGCTTCATCACACCGTCTACTGGACATCTCACACAACCAGCTTCATCACACCGTCTACTGGACATCTCACACAACCAGCTTCATCACACCGTCTACTGGACATCTCATACCACCATCTTCATCACACTGTCTACTGGACATCTCATACCACCAGCTTCATCACACTGTCTACTGGACATCTCATACCACCAGCTTCATCACACCGTCTACTGGACATCTCATACAACCAGCTTCATCACACCGTCTACTGGACATCTCATACAACCAGCTTCATCACACCGTCTACTGGACATCTCACACAACCAGCTTCATCACACCGTCTACTGGACATCTCATACCACCATCTTCATCACACTGTCTACTGGACATCTCATACCACCAGCTTCATCACACTGTCTACTGGACATCTCATACCACCAGCTTCATCACACTGTCTACTGGACATCTCATACCACCAGCTTCATCACACTGTCTACTGGACATCTCATACCACCAGCTTCATCACACCGTCTACTGGACATCTCATACAACCAGCTTCATCACACTGTCTACTGGACATCTCATACCACCAGCTTCATCACACTGTCTACTGGACATCTCATACAACCAGCTTCATCCACTCACACCGCGGACACTTCACACCATCCACCGTCTACTGGACATCTCATACCACCAGCTTCATCACACTGTCTACTGGACATCTCATACCACCAGCTTCATCACACCGTCTACTGGACATCTCATACCACCAGCTTCATCACACCGTCTACTGGACATCTCATACCACCAGCTTCATCACACCGTCTACTGGGACATCTCATACAAACCAGCTTCATCACACTGTCTACTGGACATCTCATACCACCAGCTTCATCACACCGTCTACTGGACATCTCATACAACCAGCTTCATCACACTGTCTACTGGACATCTCACACAACCAGCTTCATCACACTGTCTACTGGACATCTCATACCACCAGCTTCATCACACTGTCTACTGGACATCTCATACCACCAGCTTCATCACACTGTCTACTGGACATCTCACACCACCAGCTTCATCACACTGTCTACTGGATATCTCATACCACCAGCTTCATCACACTGTCTACTGGACATCTCACACAACCAGCTTCATCACACTGTCTACTGGACATCTCATACCACCAGCTTCATCACACTGTCACTGACATCTCATACCACCAGCTTCATCACACTGTCTACTGGACATCTCATACCACCAGCTTCATCACGCCACACCGTCTACTGGACATCTCATACCACCATCTTCATCACACCGTCTACTGACATCTCATACCACCAGCTTCATCACACTGTCTACTGGACATCTCATACAACCAGCTTCATCACACACTGTCTACTGGACATCTCATACCACCAGCTTCTCACACTGTCTACTGGACATCTCATACAACCAGCTTCATCACACTGTCTACTGGACCTCTCATACCCCATCTTCATCACACCGTCACTGGACATCTCATACCACCCTTCATCACACTGTCTACGGACATCTCATACCACCAGCTTCATCACACTGTCTATGGACATTCATATCCAAGGACAAGGAGAGTTGATATGTGGACCTTTCCTTCAGATAAAGAGAGGAACAGGCTATTTCTAGGGATCATTCTTGCTGTCTGTGTGAGGTGGAGTGAGCAGTGAAGTGAGTGAGTGAGTGAGTGAGTGAGTGAGTGAGTGAGTGAGTGTGTGAGTGAGTGAGTGAGTGAGTGAGTGAGTGAGTGAGGAGAGAGAGAGAGTGTGTGTGTGTGTGTGTGTGTGCATCACTTACACCTCCTGGTTGATGCCCTCCACTTTGTGCTGCGACATCCTTGCTTTCTTCATGGCGTTGGTGGGAAGCATCTCTGCAGAGACACAGGCAGAGCACCAAGGTCAGAGGTCAGAGGTCAGAGGTCAAATATACTGAGCTTTCCCAACAGATTTATCATCACAAAAAAAAAGATGTGAAGAAACCCAGAAGGCTCAATCTCAGACTGGATACGGTTTACAGAACAGAACAGGATGAAAACGATTTTGTACGTCCGTTGTGTGTGGGTGTCTGTCTGTCTGTCTGTCGTTGTCTGTCTGTCTTCTGTCTGGCTGTCTGTCTGTTGTCTGTATGTCTGTCTGCTGTCTGTCTGTCTGTCTGTCTGTCTGTGTGTCTGTCTGTCTGTCTGTCTGTCTGTCCTGTGTCTGTCTGTCTGTCTGGGGAAACAATCACTAACAGTGGGACAGTCAGAGAAAAATGGGGCGCAGCCTGCGAGCTAGTTCAGGCAGTCAACTCGAGCACCAATGATACATTAACACGTGACGCATCTCGTCCCTCTTTCAACCAACCAATCACATTCTCCTAAACATGCCGCTCTATTGAAGCTGCCAGGTCTTCCTGCCTCTGCCTCGCTATGCTGCTGCTGCTGCTGTGTTTCACGTTGCTGCTGCTGCTCGCCTGCCCCCCCACCACCCCAGCTTCCACCCCAGCTTCCACCCCAGCTTCCACCCCTTCCACCCCAGCTTCCACCTCAGCTTCCACCCCAGCTTCCACCTCAGCTTCCACCCCAGCTTCCACCCCAGCATCCACCCCCAGCTTCCACCCCAGCTTCCACCCCCAGCTCCACCCCAGCATCCACCCCTTCCACCTCAGCTTCCACCCCAGCTTCCACCCCAGCTTCCACCTCAGCTTCCACCCCAGCTTCCACCTCAGCTTCCACCCCAGCTTCCACCTCAGCTTCCACCCCAGCTTCCACCCCCAGCTTCCACCCCAGCTTCCACCCCCAGCTCCACCCCAGCATCCACCCCAGCATCCACCCCAGCTTCCACCTCAGCTTCCACCCCAGCTTCCACCTCAGCTTCCACCTCAGCTTCCACCTCAGCTTCCACCCCAGCTTCCACCTCAGCTTCCACCCCAGCTTCCACCCCCAGCTTCCACCCCAGCTTCCACCCCCAGCTCCACCC